TACTAGTTTTTAGAAATTAATCAATTATCATTGCCATGTAGAGATAGAAATGGGCCACTTCGTAATCATTTTAATGAGGTTTTATAACCAAAAAAATTTGGTCACGAGGTTTTATAATTTAGGGCCTAAAGTAAATCTAAAGGCCTCTTTATATATACTGAGCACCATTTTACCATTTCTTCCGTTTCACTTGCTTCAGATTTAGGGTTTTTAGTCTCCAGCCTCATCCCCCAAAGAAGCACTGTAACAACAATGGCGACCCAGATCAGCAAGAAGAGAAAGGTGAATCCTTTTCTTCCTCTCTCTCTCCCAGTCGATCGTATTTGATCTTCATACCAAAACTGTATTGATTCTTTTTTGTGTAGTTCGTTGCCGATGGTGTCTTTTACGCTGAGCTGAATGAGGTCTTAACCCGAGAGCTAGCCGAGGATGGTTACTCTGGTGTTGAGGTCCGTGTCACTCCGATGCGTACCGAAATCATCATCAGAGCCACTCGTACCCAAAACGTTCTCGGTAATGATTTTTCGTTAAAGCCCTTGAAGCAGATTCGATTCTGATAATCCCGAGATTTGATTTGATTGAATTCTCTGTTTGATTAGGTGAGAAGGGTAGGAGGATTAGAGAGTTGACATCTCTTGTTCAAAAGAGATTCAAATTTCCTGTGGACAGTGTTGAGCTTTACGCTGAAAAGGTTATGAACAGAGGTCTCTGTGCCATTGCTCAAGCTGAGTCTCTTCGTTACAAGCTTCTCGGTGGTCKYGCCGTYCGTAGGTAATTGAATTCATAGCTTCCTTGTTTCATATAACCATTAGTTACGTTTAAAAGATTAGAGATTTGCAATTTGTATGGTGTTTAGACTATGTGGTTATGGTAATGAGAACAATCAATTCAATGTCTTTCTCTATATTTTATGGCTTCAAACAATCAAGAAAATTGATCACCTGAGTGACAAATATCTGTGTACTAGTATCAGGATTGGACTGTGTGTTGTCATTTGATGCTTATTCATCTTCTTAGCTCTGAATGTTGATATTGCATGGTCTTATGTTGGTATCAGGGCATGCTATGGTGTTTTGAGGTTTGTTATGGAGAATGGAGCTAAAGGATGCGAAGTCAGTACAGACTCTAT